TTCAACTTCCCTAATATTTTGCTATGCTGCAGGGATTTTTTTTTTAAAAAAATATAAGCAAAACATGGATAATCACAATACAACACAGGTGCACATTTGGTAGATACAGCTGAGGTTTATGAGACACTTAGAAAGGATAAGAACATGAGATCCTTTTGGTACCTCTTGGCCCTTCCCTCTTCTGTTGCTTTGGCTTCTTGTTCACCCAGGACACTGGTGGCTAACCTTTTTGGGCTCCTGTGCCAAAAATTGTGCATGTGCACTGGCGCTCGGATGCCAGCACCCAGAAGGCAATGTGCACTCCCCCATGCCCCCTGCACAGGTGCATGCAATCCCCCCGCCACCGCCTCCCCCTTACCTCCACTGCACCTCACAGCTGATTTTCGGCTGATTTAAGGCCTTTTTCGGCCTCCCAGAGGCTTGAAAAAAGCCTCTGCAGGCCGAATAGGGCCGTTTTGTTACAGGAAGTGATGAAACAGGCCTATTCAGCCTGCAGAGGCTTTTCTCAAGCTTCCGGGAGGCCGTAAAAGGCCTCAAACCAGCCAAAAATCAGCTCTGAGGCACGTGCATGCACAGTGAGGTAAATTTGCCTGCGGCTTGCATACCGGCACAAATTGCCCTGCATACCACCTGTGGAACGCGTGCCATAGGTTTGCCATCAGGGATCCAGGAGATGTTAACTGTAGTGAGACAAGGAAAACATTACAGGTTGACTTATAGCCATTTGTTCAGTGATCATTCGAAGTTACAACAGTACTGAAAAAATGTGATTTATGACAGCTTTTACACAACCATTGTAACATCCTTGTGGTCATGTGATCCATATTTGGACGCTTGGCAACTGGTATATATTTATGATAGCTGTAGTTTTCTAAGATCATGTGATCACCTTTTGCGACCTTACAAAAGCAAAGTCAAGGGGGAAGCCAGATTATTGTAACAACTGTAACACAGTTCACTGCAATGGTTTCTTTAACAGCTGTGTCAAGAAAGGTCATAAAAAGGGGCAAAACTCACTCAATGGTCTTGCTTAGAAAAGGAAATGTTGGGCTCAATTGTGGTCGTAAGTTGAGGACTACCTGCACTTGGGCATAATGCACTGCAATAACCTTTCCCAACCTGTTGAATTCTATATCACTGGTGGCTAGCCTTTTGGGGCTCCTGTGCCAAAAATTGTGAGCATGCCAGCATGCCCGAACTCGCGGGCAGGAACCCAGAATGCAATGCGCGTGCCCCTCCCCACATCCCCTGCGCATGTGCGCACAATCCGCACCCCCTTACCTGCACTGTGCCTTACAGCTGATTTTTCAGCTGATTTGAGGCCTTTTTCGGCCTCCCAGAAGCTTGGAAAAAGCCTCTGCAAGGCTTCTCAGGCCGAATTATAGGCCCGTTTAATCACTTCCGATATTACAGGAAGTGACGAAACAGGCCTATAATTCAGCCTGAGAAGCCTTGCAGAGGCTTTTTCCAAGCCGCTGGGTGGCTGAAAAAGGCCTCAAACTAACCCAAAAAAACCAGCTGTGAGGCTCGGGTATGCACAGTGAGGTAAGTTTGCCTGCGGCTTGCGTGGCAGCACAAATGGCTCTGCGTGCCACTTGTGACACGCATGCCATAGGTTCACCATCACGGCTCTATAGATTATTGGAACAATAATTTTGTGGCCTGGTCATTTTGAGAGTTAGATTCCTCAAAAAACTGGAACACATCGGGGTGGAGGAGGCTATACTGTAGATCTCGAACTTTTGGCACAATTTCTGGAAGAAAAAAACCAGTAACCAAACTAAGGATTACATGGGTTTTGTGGTTTCTTTCCTGTTTTTAAAATATTTGTAAAAGTGACTATATGAAAGTGGGGATATTTTAGAATGATGCCATTGCTTATGGGGAGGGAGCGGATCTTCTCCTTGCTAAATTCACTTCTTCTGAAATTGCTGTTAACTTTGAAGGGGAAAAAGTATGGTTAACTTTTTCCAATGCTGATATATATTGGGAGCTAGAATTTGGATTGATTAATCAAAGAGTTATGCAGTATTTATGCTGTGTTGTGGCCCCATTCCAAACTCTTCTTCCCAGTGAATTAAAAAGAAAGGGAGGAAAAGAGAATTCCAGTCATGAATTCCCACAGAATGCCTAATTTGTCTTCAATATTACATCAGATGTTTAAATGTGGACTTATATATGTTTTTTTAATATTTATATAAATAAATACATACACAAATACATCCCCCCCCACACACCGGCTTTATATAAATTCAAGTTCAGATTTCTGGAAAAAATATTCCAGTAAAACAATCTGTTTTAAGGGTAACAATCTGTATTAAGTGGTAAAATACCCCACGGTGCTCCTATGAGTTTGCCACATTGCCCTGAGGTGCTGTGGTACATACACAGTGTGGGAATTGCAGAGTTAATTGTAAACAATATACTTCTATCTGTACTTTATGTTCCAGAGTTATATCCACCAGCAACTTACCACATCTCAGAAGATGGATCATTTGATATTCTAGAAGATAAAACGGCAGAGAAGGTAAACCAGAAAATCTTGTTCCTCACAGCCTGAGTGTCCTTTGGGTGTTTTTTTTAAAAAAAAAACTCCAAACGGACTTTCAAGTGCTTTGCATTGAGGAGAGGCTTCCATCTAGCCATTCTGCCACAAAGCCCAGATCAGTGGAGGGTGGCAGTGATGGCTGCGCTTCTGGAACTCTGTCACTTCTCCACACCAATTGTTTTTTTTTTAAATCCTTTGATATTGGCTGCATTGTTTAATAATTGTGAAGGATTCTATTTTCAGTGCTTTTCAAATATTTCTCTTAAAAAGAAAAAAAATGATTCAATTCCGGAAGAAATAATTATCTTATTAATAGCTATTAATATCATATTAACCTTTCATCCACAAAGGTACCCTGGATCCCTTTAGATCCTTTAAGTCCAGATCTGAAACAATACCCAGAATACACTCAGGCAAAGCCTTTAAGATGTAATGTGAAGTCTGGTGAAATGTTGTATCTTCCTTCTCTTTGGTTCCATCATGTTCAGCAATCACATGGCTGCATAGCAGGTAAGAAAAATGCCAAAAAGTATCTTTTAATTTATAATAGCTACAACTCACCAGATTTCTCCGTCAATATGTAAATGATTTCCTTCTTCTGTCTTCAGTTAGATTGTATTCAGTGTCTTCCAAAATATCAAATCAAATCTTTATTACTATCATAGGCCATTATAAAAAGGATGGGATGCAGGCAGTTTAAATACATAGAAAATATACCAGAATTTCACAGAAGAAAAAAAAAAAGGAAAAACCCAGATGATACATATAAGACATATGTATTAAAACCGAAAGTATCTATAAAAAACAAGATGCTTAAAGAATCTTAAAAACAAGAGTAGGAGAGTTAGATGAGCGTAGGGACCTTACCTGGCAGGAGAGATACTGTGATTATTTCAAAATAAACCACTTTTGTAGGCATAGATCGTAGATTCACTCATTCAAATTCTACTCATAGTTTTGCAGACAGACATGTTAGAGGGAGTCTTCAGTGACCTTGAGAGATAACAAAAGAAAGAATTGCTAAAAACTATATCTTCTTCTAGTAGTTGGAACTTCCGCTTGAAATAATATTTATTTTATGGAAGGCAACTCAGAATCCAAGCCAGTCTTTGAACAGATGAGATCTGAAAATAATGTTGTATTTTAATTGGAAAGTTCAAATTCTACCACTATATTTTGGCAGTTTAACAGTTTATCTGCTGCAAATCAAAGTAAGAATTGCATATAGGCTGTAAGTAGTCTTTGATTAATGACCATTCCTTCAGTGTCTGTTTGAAGTTCCTGTAATGCCGAACTAGTGGAACTTATGATTGGTCATCTCCACACTCTTGCGATCATGTGATCATAAACCAGGTGTAAGATCTTGCCTCAGCGGTCCCCTCAAGAAAGCAGAACTCTTGAAACAGGTAGCATTTCAAAAGGAACTTTTATTGCGAGAAGGTGATAGCAAAGAAAATAGGCAGGATCTAAAGTTCCCACGCTAAAATGTTTGGTTAAAAAAAGTTGTTTATCAAAAACCTTCCCACTGCTCAGTCCAAAGCGGGCCAATCACCAGGTGTTGAGTTGTTGTGAGAACTTTGAAGTGAGAAGCTGTTCTCAGGTGCCAGGTGCCTGTTTACCAGCTTGCCTGGGATTTGGTACTTCCTGCCAGCTTTCCCATTAACTTTGCTTGTTGGAAGCTGGCAGGAAATTGCAAGGGGGTTCTCACTTAACAACAGCAATGAGGACTGTTGGAATTGTGGTTGTTAGGGGATGAGGTCACTTAACATTGCTCTTTACAAATCATATTGCTTAGCTGTAGAAATTGCACTAATTAACAGTTCAGCAAGGACTAGCTTGCTTATATCCATGTAAAAACCGCCTTCCCAGTGGATTCTATATGATATCTCTCCACTTCACACCCACCTTTAAAAAAAACCCACATAAATTATGTTTCCATGAAAAATACATAAAACTAGATTACATTTGAAAATACTATATGAGAATGCCATTACAGCCATGTAGTAACTAATGCTAGTTATACAGTTGTTTATTGAAGCAGAACTGTTGAAATCATTTGGCTGGATTTATTTATAATGGGCAGAACAATTGGATTACTTCTTTCCAAGGTTCCAATAACAGAATCTCTAAAAACCCAGTGTTGGGTTGAGAATTGGTAATATTAAGGGTTGAAAATGCAGGTTACCTGTATGTTGGTTTTTAATTTGCATTGAATCACAAAGTTCATTATAAAGCTTAAATTCTGGGGTAAGAATACTATTAATAGTTTTAAAAAACTTGTTCTTTCTTCCTCAGTGAATTATTGGTATGATATGGAATACGATCTAAAATACTCCTATTATCAGCTGCTGGATTCTCTCACAAAAGTTGCACAACCAATTTTGGATTCTTCGTGGAACACCTAACCTTTTACATCTGATATGGAACTGTACATACAATTTTTGTATATCTTTATTCATATAATTTAAATAAATAATTGCATAATAAATAATAAATAAATAAATAATTGCATAATAAAGACAAACGGCAATTTTTATGTAATATGAATGCATTATAGGAGATGTTGGTCAAACTGTATCTTACACAGCTGTTTCATCACCAAATCATATTCTGATTAAGATAACAATATTAACTTAAAAATTAAACAGATTTTCTATCTCCATTTCAATGAGACTTCAGGATAATGTTTGGAAATGACACTACTTCTAGTGTAAAATGGTTTTCTGCAGATAAGCAGTGTTTAATATCCTCAGTATCATTCAACATCTATATATGTCTGTTGGATGAAAAAAACGTGAAGTAGTGATAAGTGCATAGTATCTGCTAGCTTTCTGTTTCTTTACCCATTAGGCCTTCAAGCAATATGTTCATCTCTAAGTTTGGGCCTGGTTCAAGCATTACGCTATGTCACACTGTTTGCACTGCAATCATTGCAACATTTCTAGGTTTCTAGAATAGAAGCTGCCTCTCAGAATGACAGGGATCAACACGCACCATCACCAGCAAAGAAAAGAATACATTGCAGAATACTTACTCTTGTCATAATTTGCCTGACAGTACAGATAATATTCAGGTTACCACCTGTACCCTATAATGGGATTAATGGGCCTCCAGCTAAACAGTGGGGGATATGATGGCTACCCTATGTCCTAACTACAGACTACTAGCTTTATTTGACCCACACATATCTATCTCTGTGAGGACTGATGAAGTGAGGAATGAAATAAAAAGTTATGAAGACGTTAGACCCGGAACTTTGTCTAATCTTTGGCATTTTTTAGATGATTAAACTCTTGCCTTGGAACAATACTCTAAATTACTGTTATAAGCTGTTAAATGACGTATGGATTAAAAAAACCTACATTATTGAGCGACTACTTATTTTTAAAAAGATTTTAGACACAATACAGAGCAGTTATGTAAGTTTAAGTTAGCTATGTGGTACCAATTTTTTTAAAATGGGAAAGTAATATGCTATTTACAGTCTGTTACATCCCACTTCTCTACAGAACTTTGCTTTCAAACAATGACAAACAGACTCTTTGGATAGAAGGTGCAAAGGATTACCAACTACACACAATTTATGAATTTGTAATAACTTACAAAATTTGACTATAATTACTTACTACATTGCAATCTTTTATCAATAACCCAGATCTAGATTTATTACACCCTTGTTAACACAACTGAATCAGTGTAATCCAGAAGAAAAGTTCTGTGAACATCTAGAAAGAAGCCAGAATGAGTTTTTTTTTAAAAAATTCATGCCAAATCAATCTTATTTCATTTTTTGACAGTGACTAAATTAGTAGACCAGCAAAATGCTGTAGACATAAGAGATTTGACAAAGTAGACCACAAATTACTAGAGAGATCACCACCACCAGACGGACTTGTAACTGTCTGACAAACTATATAGGAATCATTGTTAATGGTACTACTTCTACATGGAGGGAAGTACCGTGTTTCTCCAACAATATGCCCCTCCCATAGAAAAGCCCAGCATGTTTTATAAGCATGAGGTGAAATTAAGCCCCTCCCCCAAAATTTAGGCCTATTTAAACCATGCATTCCCCACCATTTCTCACATCGCTTGAACTATACGAGGTGAAGAGAAATGGGGGGAAAGGGTGGGGGGGAAAACTTGCCTTTAGGAGCCCCCGGCAGATAGAAACCTCAGCTAAAGCACCCCATGGGCAGGCTCGCCTCTATTGGCCGATAGAAGCACCCCACGGGCAGAATCTCCTCACCACGAGGCAGCTTCTATTGGCCGATAGAAGCTCCCTGAGGGCAGAGTCACCAGCCGTTTCTATCGGCCAATAGAAGTGGCTGGTGGTGAGGTATGGCTATGCATCAGGTTCCCAACTGCAAACTCAATCGCATGCATATACCATTGTCAGAGTAAATATCAGATCCCAAGATTCCTGCTGCATGTCTGCTTCCCAAGCCAGCCCTCTTCTTCGTCCCCTCAGATAGCCCTATTTCCCCCACCCCCGATTTCCCACTGCAACCACTTGGACAGAATGGGTTGCAGGAGGATCGCTAAAGAAGCTGATTCCACTTATCACCTGCGATGAGCGGTTCCGGGCTCCTCTGCTTAGGCTGCCAAGTAAGGGAACTTGCAGTTTATTCAATTGCTCAATCGGTTTCAAAGGGAGGTTGGGGGGATCTTTGTGCCCCTTGCCATTCACTAGCGTCTTTGAGCGGGGAGGTATGCTTTGAGGGAAAACGTGGAGATTGCTGTCTGTAAAACTGCCAGCTAAGCAGCCCGCCTTTACCCTACCTTCTTCTCGAGGTTTGGCTTGCAGCCTGACCACTGACAGGTGGTTGAGTCCAGTTTCAGCTCTCCCTTGTGTGGTTGGTGGGGTATTTTGGTGTCTCTTTTCAGACAGTACAAGGGTGAGGGTAATCCACAAATATAGTTTTGGCTTCTTCAAAGACATTGTAGTGTGCAGCATGGTTTGCACAAATACGGTACCTACCTCACCCCATTCCTATAGTTTGCCAGTAGAATAAGACGATACACATCTCTTAAATCCCTCATTCCTAGATATTCCAGGACATTAAAATAACTTAAATATTACAATATTCATAGACAAAGGAAGGGGGGGGTGTTTGCGTGTGTGTTACTTTTCCCCAGAGTCCAAATAATCGCAAGTTGAATATTTATTTGCATTTTATTCTACCCTTCCTCCCAAAGGGGGGGGGGACTTCATTCTTCTTTAATTAATAATTTTCAAACAAAAAGTACGATAGAATAGTGCATGGATCAAAGTCATTCAAGAGACTTTGTGGCTAAGCACAAAGAATAGAAATAGAAATAGAAATAGAAATAGAATAGAATAGAATAGAATAGAATAGAATAGAATAGAATAGAATAGCTTTATTGGCCAAGTGTGATTGCTCATCCCATATTTAGGCATGTATATACAGTATTTCATTCCTATTGCATGCCTGGTTGGATCTTTTAAAATTTAAAAGAGTGGCTAATGCTGCCAGTCAGAAACACACTGCAGTTATTTCACCTATCATTTTTTAATGGATTTTTGTTATTATAGAAAAAAAAAGAGAAGCAGAAAATATAGATTGATGAGCTAAGTATGATGAAATCTAGATATTCACTTAAAAGGCAGAATAATTGCACAACAAATAACTGCAGATATCCTTGAATTTTTTTCCTTGTGCTTGCACAGCACACCTAGCTTTGTTACACAATTACTGTACTGTGGTCTATTTTCTTGGATTGCTCAATACATTAAATTATAAGTTAACCAAGAAGTCAACTAAGTTGCCTAACAGGGTAAATAATAAAAAGAAGCAAAGTTAGAACATTAAAGCTAGTACATTGTGCAAATGCAAGCATTAAACTGACAGTTAACTGTTATGGAAATTAGATTACAGTACAGTAATTAAAGGATCCAACCAGGCATGCAATAGGAATGAAATATATACATGCCTAAATATGGGGTGAGCAACCCTGTCACTAGATCAGGGGCAGCTTAGTAGTTCAACTTTGTGCTTAGCCACAAAGTCTCTTGAATGACTTTGATCCAGTCTACATGCAGAAATATGCCTGCTAGTGTTGCATGCTCCACAAGGAGGCACTAGAGGTTGCATAGCGAAGTCTGGAGACTTGAGGTTAAAGGCAGAAAATTGCCTATCCAATTCCCATAGGCTGGCTGGGACAGCACAGCTATTCTATCTTACTTTTTGTTTGAAAATTATTAATTAAAGAAGAATGCAGTATTCCCCCCCCTTTGGAGGAAGGGTAGAATAAAATGCAAATAAATATTGGACTTGCGATTATTTGGACTCTGGGGAAAAGTAACACACACACAAATACTACCCCCCCCCCTTCCTTTGTCTATGAATATTGTAATATTTAAGTTATTTTAATGTCCTGGAATATCTAGGAATTGGAGATTTAAGAGATGTGTATCGTCTTATTCTACGGGCAAACTACAGGAACGAGGCAAGGTAGGTACCATATTTGCACAAACCACGCCACACACTACAATGTCTTTGCAGAAACCAAAACTATATTTGTGGATTACCCTTGCCCTTGTATTGTCTGAAAAGAGATGCCAAAATACCCCACCATTCACACAAGGGAGAAGCTGGACTCAACCACCTGTCAGTGGACAGGCTGCAAGCAAAACCTTGAGAAGAAGGTACGATAAATGTAGGCTGTTTAGCTTGCAGTTTTACAGACAGCAATCTCTGTGTTCCCCCTCAAAGCATACCTTCCCCCTCAAAGACGCTAGTGAATGGCAAGGGGCACAAAGATCCCCCTAACCTCCCTTTGAAACCAACTGAGCAATTGAGTAAACTGCGAGTTCCCTTAGTTGGCAGCCTAAGCAGAGGGGCCCAGAACCATGCGTTGCAGGCGATAGGTGGAATCAGCTTCTTTAGCGACACTCTGCAACCCATTCTGTCTAAGTGGTTGCAGTGGGAAATCGGGGGTGGGGAGAAATAGGGCTACCTGAGGGGATGAAGAAGAGCGGCTGGCTCGGGAAGCAGAAATGCAGCAAGAATCTTGGGATGTGATATTTACTCTGACAATGGTATATGCATGCGATTGAGTTTGCAGTTGGGAACCTGATGCATAGCCATGCCTCGCCACCAGCTGCTTCTATTGGCCAATAGAAGCAGCTGGTGACTCTGCCCTTGGGGCGCTTCTACCAGCTGATAGAAGCGGCCTCATGGAGAGGTGTGTGTACGTGGTGGGGGTGGGGGTGCATGTGGGGGGGAATTGTCACCCTCCAAAAAAACGGCCTAGCCAGTTTTGGGGGGCTCAAAAAAAAATACGGCCCGGCCTTATTTTATTAGAAACATGGTAAGCAGTGGGATACCACAAGGTTCTGTCTTAGGCACAGTACTCTTCAGCATCTTCATCAATGACTTAGATTAGGGAATAGAAGAGTTCATCAAAAGGTCTAGCAGCCAGGGCAAAAGTTCTGGAAAGAAATTTACAGTATCCAATTTTCTATG